TCCTTCTCAATGGAAATGATGGCCAAATGACTAAGCCTCACCTGGCCCATTGTACTTCTCAGCCAAGTGTGTAGCCTTCGCAGGGCACTGAAGGACCTTTCACAACTGCAGCTGGTGACTGGGATTGTCAAAGCAGCTTGGAAGATGGCCTTAAGAGAGGGGAACATATCCTCATCCAAAAGGGAAAATACACTTTGGATACTTGGCATGTCTTTCTCTATCCTGGCAAGGTATTGTCTTGCAACAACAACCTCTTCAGTTTGTAAGTGGATGCTGTAATGTTGTGCAAGATTTTTGAGTGCCTCTTCATTCAGGAAATTCTCAGAAGCAGGGTGACATGCCTGTATGCCGATTAATATTTTTTCCCCAACTCCAGAAAACCTGTTTTGAAGCTCCTCCAGCATTCTGTCGAGAACTGGAAAGAAGATTCTCCCTCTCAAGTCATCTCCTGTTGTCAGGTCTGACCTTGCTCCACATGATGCCTCAACTACAAAGTCTTCCATGTTTCTTCGCTTCTTCCTCTGTGTCACAGTTTCGGGAATATCCAGATCATTGCACAGGGCCTTGGTCTTGTCATAGACCTCATGTGCTTTCTCGTCACTTCGGTAACTTTTCAGTGTATTCTCAACTGCTGTTTTGTAATTTACTGCCTGCACCAAGTCAAGTGTTTCTTTCTGCAGGTATTTGTGCAGGCCCTGAGTGGTTGAGAGCAGTGTCTGGAACAGGACAAGCATGTAGATGGTACTGAATTTGCAAAGCTTGCTTTCCAGTCCCTTTGCCAGAGGGGCTGGAAGGCTCCCTAAAGTCTGGATCAAAGCAGGGAGGTTTTTTAGGATTGCATTCACCGACTCAATTTGACATGCCCAGCGAGTGTGTGACAGCTGAACAAGTTGTTTGTTCCCTACCTCTAGCTGTTTCTGAAATGTTTCCAATCTCTGATGGTGGACAAGAGATGTGGAGAAGAAAGAGTAGAGACACTCCAGGAGATCAAAGAAGTCACATGCCTCTGGGATGGCTTTGCAAGTGGCGCAAAGGACAAGATTGAGTTCATGGGCATAGCAGTGAACATAAAGTGCTTCTGGATGCTTCTCTCTAAACCGAGCTTGTACACCTCTCACTTTTCCACTCATAACAGCAGCACCATCATAACTCTGGGCAACACATTTAAGATGTCCTATTCCATGTTTGTCAAGTAGCTGCTCTATTGTGTCAGTGATGGTTTTAGCATCAAATGCTGCAAGCTGAGAAAGTCCAAGGAACCTTTCTTTCACTGAGCCTTGTGGACTTACATATCGCACACACAATGCAAGCTGCTCTGTGTGATTATCTCTTGCTTCATCCACCATTACCGAGTACATTTTTGCCTCTTTGATCTCAGATATTATCCTTGCCATTATAACGTTGGCGGTGCTTTCAATCATCTCATTCTGTGATGAGGGTGAGAGGTAGGTCACACATGAAGGTGGCTTATAGGTTTGCAGAAAAGGATCAAAGTTTTCAAGAAGCTTCATGCATTCCATAAAATTACCCATATTATCACTCTCTGCTGCTTCGTTGTGCCCTCTGAAAGCAATCCCTTGCTTCCCAAGAAAGGCTGTCACTGCTGCTATGCGTTTCAGATACTCCCTACATTCCTGAATCTCACTGACATTTGCAGCATGTAGCTGCTGTGTGATGTCCCCGTGGACCTGGGTGGCTTTAAAGCTCTTCCAGAGAATAATTAAGGCCTTGTGTACGTTTGACTTTTCATGTTCTCGAAAATAATCCAATGAACGCTTCCAGTTTGTGTATCCTGAGGTGGTGAGGGTGTCCCTTTGATCCCTTGACTGCTTTGGTTTGCCATATATTCTACAACTAAAGCAGAATGCTGCATTGGCAGTTGTAGAATATTCAAGCCATTTAAAAGTATCAAACCAACTTGGTTGAAATGATCATTTTTTGCTGGCCAAACATGCCGGATGGAAAGCAGTGATGTCTCACTTGCCTTGGCCCTGTATCTGCAGTCCCTAAATCAGTCATGTTACCCATTGACTCTTGTCTGTTCTGGTGTTCCTGTTCATTGTTGTTCTTATCTGTTGTATCTCCTTCTTGTGTGTCCCTTTCTCCTTTCTTCATCCTCTACTCTGTTTGGCTCATCTGTGATGACTGTGTAGGTAAACACAAACAAGTATTTTAAGTCAATCAGTTTCCAGCTCTGTCAAATAAATGAATTTGAAGATACACAAATGTGTCTTCATTAAAATGAGTGTCACCACACTGTCACAAAATGTAATACTAACCAATTGAAAATAGTTAAATTTACATTGGAAACCTCTTGTAGATATCACTAAGAGTAGTTATCTGCCAATAGGACAGAATCATTCCTATACAAATGTAGTTTGAGTAATTCACATCCATATATTTCAGTGCTACATTGATGCTTAGCTAAGCTAACTATGAAACACTTTAACTGACAGGACTCAGGAATCAGGATCAACTGTACTACTGTAAAGTAGCTTATAGCTTCATGTCGAACACTGACAGTAAGTCAACATTTCCCAGAGAGCTTTCTTTGAAATCACCAGGTAACGCTAAAAAACACAACATTTAGATTGTATGACAAAGTGTTTATTTAATCTGGCTAGCTATAGCTACTTGCTAACGGTTTAGCTTACCCGCGCGATTCAAAGTAACGTCAACGTAGCTGTATTTTATGCTTTGCTTACATGTTCGCATAACTTGTAAGTTTACTGACAGGTACATACCTTGTTCACCTGGCTCAGGTGGTGGCTCTGGGGTTGTTGTGTGAGCCACCACTTGAGAATTGCCGTCTTTTTTATTAAAAAAACTTCTAATGTCCATCTTCAGAATCTCCGCGTCCGGGGCTGACAGTTTAAAGTGTAAACATTGTCACAGAGGAGAGGTACGTACCTGTCAGCCAATAAAACACGTTTATTTCCATGCAACTCTCTGATTGGTCTGGTGGCGTCGTCTTGCCTCTGTGTTGCATTCACTGAACATGGGAAATTATAATTCTGCCGTCCGTCCTATAGGTAAAGTAGGTTAATGTATTATATTATTGAGGGAGAATTTGTCCGGGGCTAAAGAAAAAACATCCGGGGCTAAAGCCCCGGATGCCTACCCCAGGCGACGCCCATGTTGCTACCTGTGAATGGACTTTTGTATTCGACGGAACTATAGGAGGAATGTCGCAACCATATGGCTGAGGTTGTCTACCTGCACATCAATGTTTATACCACAAGGGGGCAGATCACCTTATGGTTCATGATTGTTTTATTCTGGACATGAACAGAAGAAGTGTTTCTGCGTGTTGTGCTTTGAGATCGTTTGAGATGCTGACATCTTGCACATGTGCCTTGTGGAAGTTAATAAATGAACGTTTTCTACACCTATAATGCCCTTGCGGTCTGAGTTGTGTTACATAAACATTTCAAAATTTAAATATAAAATGAGAAAAAGGTTAATTTGGAAATTATTTGTCACAAAAACCTTTCTAAATTATAGTAAATTATTCAAAAATGTTTAGTCAATAAAGGTTTCCAGCCTAAAATAGTTGAAAAATAGTTGCCAAAAAAAGGCATATAACCTGGCCGGCTTAGCCAGTGTGTAATTTTCAAGCACTACAAGATTCAGAGTTTATCAAGTACAATTCTTGGCCATTGATTGTGTTATTTCTCCAAACACATACAGTTAAAATGCCTGTTCTTGAAGCCTTAAAATGGTGCAGGAAAAGGACTTTACAGTCAAGAGAAGAGAACAAAGGAATGAAAACTGTTATAATGGGTGATGTAACATTAATGACAGACATAATATGAGGTCCTTGGCACTCAGACTCTAGAGTCGTCATTTTGTGATCATGGGGCATCAGGACAATATCATATGGAGTCAGACACTGGAAGTGTGCTGGAGGCGTTGACTGACTGGGACTGATGGAAGGATGAGGCTGATGAATCTGCGAGGAAAGAATTAGCGGCAGAGAAATAGTCATTTATTAAAAGACAGCAGCTTCATAAGAGGCCAACCAGAGTGACAGGGTGTGTCACTTTGCTGAAGGATATTTGGGATAGGATAGTCTCTAAATACTTTCCAAGGGGTAAAAATGCTGCTGCCGGAGTACTGACTGGAAGTATTGCTGATATCATGTATAGGAGGCTATACCATATCCTCTTAAAATACTCTGTCCAATAATATCAGTCTCAGGAAGAAAGTTTTTTTAACGCTTATTAAAAATAGCAGAAAAACATGCATTCTTACTCATGAGGGGACCTTGACAGAGGATTATTGGGAAAGTACACAGTAAGTACTTGTGGGGGTAGTTTCACTAGTACTGAGTCCAACAGGATCAATCTCATGAAGAACTAATGGCAACAAAAAATAATTCCCTCATCAAACTTAGCAGGAGTGGCTTGATTTTGTTCTCAGCAGGGGACTTTGACAAAGTATTTCTCAATAAATACACAGTAAAAGTACTTCAATGTATTGTTAGGCTAACTAATACAAAGTCAACCATTATCAATTTCATTAAGAAGTAATGGTAAACAAATGTATCATTCATCAAAGATAGCAGAAAAACATGCATTAAGTACTAAGGAGGGGACTTTGACAGAGGATTACTCACAAAGTACACAGTAAAAGTACTTTATTTTGGTAGAAGTCAAACTAGTACCGAGTCCAGTGTCAGTTGTATTACAATTGAAGATTGCTCTTCCTGGTTTGATTCATAAAGTCCTATGCAGAGCTTTATTATATGTGATTACTTGCAAAGAGGCCCACAATAGAACTTTGTTTGTGTATTTAGCTAATCTAGTATTACATTAACCCTTTAATCTGTCTGTAGGGCTGTTTGAAATAAAACCTAGCCCCTGTGTAATTCCTGGAGATCTAATTGTATGCCTGTTAATCATGTGTGTAATGTAATTTGCTAAATTGATTTGACATTCATGATTCTAAAGATTTGAAACGTTGCCATTTCTAGAAAGAATCTTAACACTGAAACAATATAAATTTTTTCTGGCTTTAAGTTTATTTCAACAAACACTCCAGTTACAAAAGACACACAGACAACAAACACTCAGACAACAAACAGCATTCACAGTCTCTTGCAATCATTCCCTCTGTTCACTATCAGCTGTTCTGTTGTGTCGCTCTGATGCCACAGTTTAGGTGCAGAGTGGGGGGGGGGGGGGGGGGGGGGGGGAATGAGCCCTGAACGAGGGTCAGGATTGCTCTCTAGTATGCAGCAGGAGCAGGAAAGGAAACCGTCTCAGGTGTAGCTTCGTGATGTTGCGGATCACAGTGAGGGGGGGGAGTCAGCAGGGGGTCCTCAGACTGCGGGACACTCAGCTGTAACAACACAGGATGAGGACAATGAGTATAAGTGAGGAAACGTTAAATGAGTTTTTATGAAAGTGCTGTTTTTCTGCATTACCGTTCTGTGGCAGGATGACGGCGTTGTCGGGCAGGACTCCAGCTTCCAGAGCGAGCTGGGTGAACTTCTGCTGCACCACCTCACTGAACTCAGTAGTGCGGCCTGCAAACACACAGAGTTAATTTCACCTTCACCAAATCACACAGCTATTCCATCACACAGTGTGTCTCTCTTCACTCACTGTAGACTGCGATGAAGGCCTCAGACACTTCCTCCTTCGTCTTGATGGTCTGCACCAGGGCGTAGTCGTCGTACACAACTTCAACAATGGTCATGACGTTGTCGTTGTTCCAAACTGATGAGAGCAGAAATAGAGAGGTCAGGCTGTTGAATCGCTACGTCAAATGTGTGTGTGTGTGTGTGTGTGTGTGTGTGTGTGTGTGTGTGTGTGTGTGTGTGTGTGTGTGTGTGTGTGTGTGTGTGTGTGTGTGTGTGTGTGTGTGTGTGATGCTCTACTCACCCTGGCTGTGGAAGGTGAAGCGACCGGGAGTCTCTGTTTTCTGAGCGGTGTGAGTTGCTCTGTAGCAGGAACCGTCGTCTCTAAAAGATTGAAGAAGAGGTTTGTTTTAGAGTTGTTGATTTGATGATCAATCATATTATATAATACGGACATTTCAGAGAATATTCCCCATAAATACCTGCTTTTCTGATTATACAGTATATTGGGGTTTTTGGACCAACTTAACAATAATATGCAATAAGTGTCAGTCCATGTCAGTTTATTTTTCCCCAGGAGAATCCTTATATTGATTTAAAGTATGATTGCATAGAGATCACTCACTTCAAGCTGGCATAAGTGAGGTCCATGTCCCCTCCTTCAGTCGGCACAATTACAGCTGTCCCAGTCTTCATTCCTGCCTTGTTGTTCACAAACCACTGAGCGTTGCTGGCTAATGCGACAGTGTACCACTTGCCTGACATCTAAAAGAAAAACAGAAGGGGTCAATAAAGACTTATAAACTCAAATCTATCAATGCAAAGTAGGTGAGAGCTTATCTGAACAGCAGCACATTGAATCATTTCATTTAAACTCTTAAAACCTCATGCAATAAACATGTTACACAACCACAGTTACTGCAGGAATAACCAGCTTTATTTGTTTGTGTAATATCAGCAGAATCTAATCCGTCTCTTACCTTCTGCAGGTCGAAGTCTGCGGCCGGTGTGATGTCAGCGCAGACGGTCAGTGCACACATCAGGGCGACCAGCATCATCAGTGTGTTCCTCATGGCTGCTCCTTTGTGTTCTGGGCTTCAGCAGTAAGAAGAATTCAGGAATGTAAGGTAAAAGAGTAGGGGTGCAGGCTCCTTATATCCTGCAGAGTCCTGTTCCCTCCTCCTCCTGTCTCCTCCCCCTGCTAGCCTCTTACAAAAACGTTTTGGCATGCAAATCACTGCCGTTACACAACTGGTGGATGGAAGAGGGGGAGGTGAGGAGGGGAGATTGAGGGAGGTCAAGAAAGAAAAGAGAGGGTGGTTACATAATAGGGTCCTTAACACCCCTCCCTTTTCCCTCCTCCATCACAAACGCTCGTTCATGCCTATCAACAGCTGTTTGGTGAGAGTGTGAATTTATTCACCATATGGCGCATTCATCTACACTTTAGCACAAACATGGAAGGAGAAGTCACATCAACTGTAAGAGCCTGTTAAGTCCACTTCAAGTAAAGTATGAAATAAGAACTTTCTGGGTATTATAAACCAACTTTAGAGGGTTCTCTTGCAGGAAATGGTATTGCCAGCTGCACTAAGGGAGTCATTTTTCTGTCAGAGGTTTTATTATTTCCCATAAAAATATCTGCCAGTGTTTCTGAAAAGGATTTGATTGTTTGTTTGCAGTTCACCTTGAGAGTTTTATAAGTGTTGTAACCACACATTAATAAGAACAGTTGGATGATACTAAATGTTGCGTATGTCTTTGATTTATGTGTAAAAGAACACCCTCTAAATCTCAACTGTTTAGTTAGAAATTGTGTAATCCAAATTGTGCAACATGTATTGTGTTGATTGGCTTTGATTTTTTTGCACAAAAGTACCGTGGCCCTGAAGTGCAAGACACCACAGCATTTCACAAAACTCCACAGCATTTCACATTGGACGGAAAGGGTATTCCTTAGGGAGAACACTTCTTGTTTGTGATTGGACAGAGCCAACCATAGAAGCACTGCTGTGATTGGTTGTTTTTGCTGCCAGTCAAGAAATTACGCTTCATGATTGGCCCAACACATCAGCCGTTAGCTGTTAGCACACACTCAGAGCTCACAGCTCCTCATATCTGTTCAGAAACTGGACAAAAGTAAAATATATACAAAACACAGACTGTCTATGTCATGGCGAATACAGTCGCTGCTTTATTTATGTCTGTGTGAGGTTGTTGTGAGTGTGGACGGAGCAGCTACAGGCAGGGATGCAAACTCATCAGGTATGAAAAAGGTGACAAGGATCCGATCCCCCGACCCCACAGAATATCGGCTTTAAAATGAGAAATAACAGGATGTTAGCCTTCAGAACAACTAAAGCAGCAGTTTATGATGAATTGGAAATGGGGGACCCTGATGTAAACAAGACGAAAGTCTTTCTCTGGTCTGCATCCCCTTAACAATTGTATGTTTTTAGCTGTACCCAATATACAAGCTGTTAATAAACTTTTCAATCAATCAATCAATCAATCAATAATAACAGAAACATTAAAGAGTCACATCTAATAGAAATATATAAAAACATTTATTTTAATTGTGTAGCAGTCAGTTTATCATTTTGGCAGCACTGTTGAGCATTTTGAAAATGTATTTCCATGCCTCTGTTCAAGGCTTAGTCTGGCGCATCTGTATAGCCAGTGGTGTAAAGTAACTAAATTCATCAACTCAACAAGTAGCTACTATACTTGGGTACAATTTTGAGATACTTCAATGTTTTGCTACTTTGTTATTCTTCTCCTCTACAGTTCAGAGGTACATGGTGTACTTTGACTCCACTACATGTATTTAATACCTTTAGTTACTTCACAGATCTGGATGAATGATGTGAAATATAATCAAGTGTTAAATCAGACTTTAGTTCCACCTGGAGTAAATCCACCAGCTACCCTGCAGTATACAAAGTCATTCAAACTCGCTGCACCTTTACCAGCTTTGAGAACACTTTGATGATCAATCATTATAAAACATATCATATATATTATTCTGAAATGGACCAATCTGCACAACGACTACTTTTACTGTCGCTACTTTCACTATATTTTGATGAGAATACTTTTCTACTTTTACTTGAGGAACATTTTGAATGCAGGACTTTTACTGTAACAGAGTATTCCTACACTCTGGTACTTCTACTTTTACTCAAGTACAAGATCTTAGTACTTCTACTTTTACTCTAGTACAAGATCTGTGTGCTTCTACTTTTACTCAAATACTTCTACTTTTACTCAAGTACAAGACCTGAGTACTTCTACTTTTACTCAAGTACAAGACCTGAGTACTTCTACTTTTACTCAAGTACAAGATCTGAGTGCGTCTATTACTCAATATCTATACTTATACCACCTCTGTTTATAGCCTATGAAAAAAACTATTAGAAAACGAAGGCTAACGCTAACGTTAGCAGATAGTGACAATGTATGCTAGTTAGCTAGTTAGCTCAACGATTCCTTAAATAATATTGCGACAGAAAAACTGTTCAGTGCACATCACGCTCTGCCGCTCCAACAGGGAGCTCTGCTCTGAACACCTGAACGGCCCGTTCTAACAGCTGTTCACCAGCGGTCCAGTCTGTGCCACAGTGACTCCGGACCACACAGTTAATATTAACGAACGCACCCGTAGGTAATGTAGCTGCTGAAGCTAGACCCTCATCGCGGAGCAGCAGAGCCTTATAATACATCCATGAGCAGAGCCGACAGCCAGGAAGACTCGAGCACATAGCTCGCGCTTCATTATAATATATAAAAAAAGAACACCATGCGTGTATGATGGCACATAACAGCTCGCGGCCGCAGATTACTCCGGGTCCCCCCCCCATACCCCAAAAATATTTTTATTGCAGATCTACATGAATCACACAAACAACCTATTTTGGATTGAAAACGGCGAATTTCGCCGAAAGGTGACAAGTTTGCATCCCTGACAGGTTAGTTTAGCCCAGTGGTTCTCAAATTTTTCTGTCAGGCCCCCCCTTTGGAGGAAAAAAAAAGTCGGGCCCCCCCAACACAAGTCAGGCTCAGTGGCGGTGCCAGAGATTTCTTTTGGGGGTGCTGTGGGGTAGCTTGACATTTCATAGAGGGTGCTCAAACATTTAGGGTTTCCCATTAATGTACCGGGCGCTACAGTGGAATTTTCTACTGCAACACTCCCCACGCATATACACAGTGTTCCCGCAACTGTTACAATGAAGGCTCGATAATCAGCTCACGGCATATAGGTGTAAGCAGGGGTCAAGTGCTATTTTTATAGGTGGTGTGTGGACCTCACATAGGGGGGTCCGGGGGCATGCTCCCCCGGGAAGATTTATTTTTAAATATTGAAGTTAAAAGCATCAATCTGGTGCACTTTGAGAGCTAAATGAAGAGATCTATGGATACCTCTCTCAACACCCATATGAAACAGAACTCTAAACAGATTTACTTTCTTTATGGATATTTTACAAATCACCCTTTTAAACTTTATTCTTGTTTTACTGTCATATAGTATTTCATACCCGTTTTTCATTTATTCTCTTGTTTTTTTATAACTATAATGATCATATAAATGTGTGCCTCGGAAATAATTGTTTACATTAATGGTGACCAAAACGTTTGAGACCCACTGAGATAACGCTGCGAGTCCTTTAGCTCACTGAGTCTCTCAGTCTGACAGGAGAGGACTCTCCTCCACTTTGTTGTTGAAAGTTGAAACTTTGCTCTCTAGCACCAGAAGCTAACAACAACGATCTCCGGTACCGGTGCGCTCTCTCTCTCGCGCACACAAAATAGCTCGTTCCACACACACACACACACACACACACACACACACACACACACACACACACACACACACACACACACACACACACACACACACACACACACACACACACACACACACACACACAGAGCCGAGCTTTAATGAAACACAGAGACCCAGACGTAATATTACTGTACTGCATCATATTATTTTCGAATCAATAATTTTTTTAATTATGATTTTTTTTTTAAATCTTTTTTTTTTTTATAACCATTTTTCTCTCGCGCCCCCCTGGCACGCCCCCCACTTTGAGAACCACTGGTTTAGCCTGATCGATCCGATTCCGATTCTTTCACACACACATACGGGTATTGGGCCGAGGGCGACACCGTACTTCCGGTATCCACCGTTTTACGCAAGGTGCAAGCTTCCTGTACTGAATATCATAGTCTATTGCCTTAATCAATATCTAGTCAACTCTAAAATACCACATATATGCAATGGCATGATAATATTATTGTGACAAGTGGGGTATTCACCTGGTGTTTCCAGAAGATAGACGTAGATGCAGCCAAAATCGACGAAGGCCACTTTCGAGGGTCGTTTTTCATACATCTGCAGGCAGTCTGTAAGGGCAATCTGACAACCCACACAGCTCTAGTTTACGCTGGTAATGACCTAAAGCACACCCCTCAAGTCCAGAGATGTAATCCGAAGACATGCAGCGATTTCTTCGGTCGTTAATTCAGAAAAAAAACCTAGTGCGCTCTACCTGGATACGTTACCTAGCTGTTTATATTTGCACTTCCAGGATATTTGCACCTCCAGGAAAATGGCGTATTTATATATATATATATATGGTGCGTGTTGCATTGTGGGTAGCTCGTGACGTCACTGTGTGTGAAAGATATTCTTATTCTTAGATACGGCCCGCCCCCTCTCCAGCATCTTGTTTGAATGACAGGAGTAAACACAGAATTAATGCTTTATTAATTCATGGTTTTTAAGGGGCTTATCTCCATGTAAATACTATGGTAGACTACCCAATATTCGCATCGCTCTAATCGCTCGAGTTTCACCGCGGCTGTCAGCTCCTGTCATTCAAACAAGAGGCGCTGGAGAGGGGGCGGGGCGTATCTCCATGTAAATCCTATGGGAGATACCAACTACAACACAATGAACATATTTGACCGTAATTTAATTGTAATACACGTTTCAAAGTGATGCCGAAGTAACTACATACTGATAACGGTTAGTAAAAACCATGAATTAACGCTTTGACAAGTCTGCAGACAAGACGGCAGGCGAAAAGCTTTTAAGATGCGTGTTTTCTGAATGAAATCGGACCCATCAGGCTAAACTAACCTGTAGCTGCTCCGTCCACACTCACAACAACGTCATACAGACATAAATAAAGCAGCGACTGTATTCACCATGACACAGACAGT